TTGGCTGATCCATTACCTTACTGGGTTTATTTTTTTAATTCAGCTGTGTGTTGACATTAACAATTGGCACATAACTTGTCAGTTTAAAATAGAGCTTAAGAACAAAAGAGCTGTGCAGAAGCTTTAGCTTTTCTAGTAGTTGCTTTAATTGTTTGCTTTTTCTTTTTTTAAATAGGAATTGCAGTAGCATGGAAGGGAATTCTTCCTAATGGAAAACTGTTGAGTGCATCAAGACTCCTGAGAAAGATTTTTGGAAAGCTTGGTCCACATAGGAGTGGAATCATGTTAAACAAGCCAGTGCTGGTGGAATCCCTGGTGGTGTTTGTCATCGTTCTCTTTGTGCACGCGGTGGTGTGGGACCGGTACTCCTGGTGCGCTGTGGCTCTCGCCGTCCAGGCTTTCTATGTCCAATTCAAATGGGACCGTCTGCTCCAGCTGGGTGGGGCTGTGTTCCAGTTCCGTACAGCAGCGAACAGCGGCCTCCTGCCAGCCAGCATGGTCATCCCCTTGTTGGGGATAGCGATGAAGGAGAGATGCAAGTCTGCTGGCATTGTGTACTTCGAACGTTTTGGCATAGTTGTAGCTTCCACTGGCATGCTGGTTGCTCTCTTTCTGTCTGTAATAGCGGTTGGCATCACAAAACCTGTGCCAACCAACACTTGCATACTTACTGGTGTCGCTGGCAGTGTGATTATCTATACCATGAAGCACTCTTTGACTGTTTCAGAAGTGATAGAGGTCCTAGAAGTGCTGCTGATTTTTGTCTACCTCAGTATGATCTTGCTGTACCTGTTGCCCCGATGTTTTACTCCTGGAGAAGCGTTGCTGGTTCTCGGAGGTATAAGTTTTGTTCTCAATCAGCTCATTAAACGCTCACTGAATGTAGTTGAGGGCAGAGGTGATCCCATAGACTTTTTCCTTCTGGTGGCAGTTGTTGGAGTTATTCTTCTTGGGCTTTTTTTCACTGTTCTCTTTATTTTCATGGATTCGGGTACGTGGATCTCCTCCATGTTTTTCCACATGATGACGGCAGTGCTAGGCTTAGGGGTCATCATGCCTTGGCTGTACCGACTGATCCAGAGGAACCCTTTGTTCTGGCTACTCCAGTTTCTGTTTGAGACACAGACCAGAGTTTACCTTCTTGTATATTGGACCTTTTTGGCTGCTTCGGCATGTGGTGTAGTTTTCTACCAGAATGCTAAGAGATCATCTGAATCTAAAAAACACCAGGCCTCGACTATAACCAGGAAATATTTCCATTTCATTGTTGTAGCTACTTACATTCCTGGACTAATTTATGACCGTCAGCTTCTCTACGTTGCTGCAGTACTGTGTCTGGCAGTGTTTATCTTCTTGGAGTATATTCGGTACTTCAGGATCAAACCATTTGGCCAAACCCTTAGGCAGTTGCTGTCGCTTTTCTTAGATGAAAGAGACAGTGGACCTCTAATCTTGACTCATATTTATCTCCTCCTTGGCATGTCCCTTCCAGTATGGTTGTTCCCCAGATCTTGTGCTCCTAAAGGTACCTTGTCTGGGGCAGGAGCACTGGTCCCCTACTCCGGGGTACTGGCAGTGGGGGTAGGAGACACTGTTGCCTCCATTTTCGGTAGTACAATGGGGGAAATCAAATGGCCAGGAACAAAAAAGACCTTTGAAGGAACAATGACAGCTATTTTTGCTCAGATCATTGCTGTGGCTCTTATTCTGATCTTTGACAGCAGTGTGAATCTGAACTCCAGCTATGCCAGGATTCTGGCGTCTGTGAGTTTAGTTTCTCTTTTGGAAGCTTATACTACCCAAATTGATAATCTGCTGTTGCCTCTCTACCTCCAGATAATGTTTATGGCTTAGAAGCATTCCCAGGAACAGAGATTTCTCCCTTTCTAGCGAAAAGTGGTAATAGAACACGCACTGTAATGAGAGCTCAGAGCTGCTGCTTTTGGTACAGCAGATAAAATTGTTAATAACAGAAATGAAAAGGACCTATTTAAAATAAAGGTTTTGTTTTGATCTTGTTTCCCCGCCCCTGTTTGAAACAGCATGAGTTGATTTATGGTCTCACAAGAACACAAATGTAACTCATAAATTGGATTATTAAACACAAATGCTATTTTTGTGTCTCTTCTGGGTGCTCAGAGGCAAAGGAGGTAGAAGAAGAAGAGGTAAGTCAGTAAGACAGAAAAAAAAAGCAAACCTCTCAGATCTTGCCACCTCTGTAATGTATCAGAGCCAAAGCTTGTTTTACTATGCTGGGCACTGCCAACTTGTATTACTGCATCTGTGAACTCCTCGTTTCTGTATAGGTACCATTTCAAGCATGTTTTGTAACAAGGGTGGCCACTGTCTACACAAAGTGAATACGACTGTCCCAGTGTGTCCAGTCACTCCACAAGAGCTGTATTAACACACTGTGATGTACGAACACGACTTCAAACTCAGTAGCTGCAATAGCTGCGTTTGTCTGGGGCAAGTGCAGGAGGTTTGAGAATGCAGGAAACTGTTTATTCCCAACAGTACTAAGAAGAGAGTTGCAGTCTTAGCCCTGGAGATTTTACGCAACAAGAAAAATGCTTTGTCTTCAAGATTTTAATATCATTCAATGTAGGGGAAAAAAAACTAAGCAAAGTCACAGAAAAAATTAATTATACATTAATCATGAAAGCAGAAAATCTGTTAAAGTCAATAAACTGATACCATTGCAGTTTTCTACCTTCCACATTTTTTCAGACAGATGTTTAATCAAATAATCTATAAAAATGCTTCTACCAACAAATTGAGTAAAGCCATTTAATTATATATATCATATATAATATAAAGTTTTAATTATACACCATTTTGTGGCCAAAAAATTCACCTAATCTTTATGTATTAAACACCTCTGTATTGACAATCTCTTCTCGCCAGTTTGCCAAGTGTCCATTTGAACAAGACACATTAACAGATGCCCTCCCTGCCTCTTCCCTTCCCCTGAGAAGTGTCCAAGCAGAAGATCTGCATTTCAGGATTCTTGTTTGCAGGGTGAAGTTAACTTCTGGCACTTCTCTTACGCACTTTTGGGAACAGTTTTGTGCGAGTCCAAGAGACCTTACACAATAGTGTCCTGCAGTCCTAGCCCTGAGATTGTGTTTTAGGAGTGAGAATAAGACAGGGGTGGAGTGAAACTAGTGCTCTGGGCCAGACTGAGCCAGCAAAATTGGTCCCAGAATCTAATATTGTGTTTGTCCCTGCAACAAGCCAGGACTTGAACAGCTGAGAGGCAGCATTGCCCAATTTCCCCGTGCCTGGCCACAGCTCCTGAGGTTTGATACTGCTTTTCCTGAGGATGTCAAAATTGTCCAGAGTTGGTTTTGGTTAATAACACAGTAAGTTGTCAGATACTCTGTGTAGGAAACCAAACTCAGTAATTGTGCTAGACTGAGTTTCCTTCACATTTAACAGGAAATCCTGGAAATCCAATCCAGCTTCTTGCCTTTATTTATGTGCTTGATGTTTTTGTACATCGCAGGTAGTGGTGCATATAATCAGAGGACATAGTATCACTCCTCAGCAGAAAGGCACTATTCTAAATTATCTCTTCTAATGGAAAGATACAGAAAAGTTTTACCTGCTTCCATCACGAGCCACAGCCTTCATTAACGTCGTAAAATAGTGCCAGAGTTAAAGTCATTTCCCCCCCACCCCACTAACAGCTCTTAAACACACTGTAGAAAAGGTAGGGGAGGGCAGCAGCTGTACCTGCAGAAACTTTGAACTCAACATTACTGCTCTTGCCATTACCCAGCTGCCTAATTCCTGCTACAGCCACCTCCATGGTGAATTCTTTGCTGTTCTGAACCTGTTCTGCATTGCTCAGCAAAGAAAGCCCAAAGGGCTGAAAGGACACATCTTCCCATAAAGGCACCAAATCTCACCATTTCACATCAAACAAGTGCCAGAGACAGGCAACATGCTTTGGAAAGGGATGAGTCAGTAAGAAGTGGGGCTCACTCTGCCAGGACTCTGAGCAGTCTTAAGGTTTCTACAGTATAATTAGTGCATTGATGATACTGGGCTCGTATCTCAGGGTTGCCACGGCACCAGTGCCAGTGAAGCTACACCTACGTGGCTTCTGTTCAGTTCAGGATACAGGCTTGAGCTTGCCTCGGGTGTAACATGTTTCTTAACAATCCTCAGGTTTCACCTTGCTCGAAGCTGGTTTGGGTTTGTTGGGGTTTGGGGGACAGTAATTGCTCTTGTGCACACTGAGAGTTCACACCGGTCATCAGACAACTTAGCCCTGGCCTCATCTGCCACACTGCGTCTTCCTCAAGTAAAAGATGAGGGAGATGAAAAGGAGAATTTCTGTATTTTGTTTAAGTGTTAGGAGTTTGACTGGGGTTTTTTGCTTTCATAATTTCCACACGAATCTTTAAGAACTGTAATATTTTTAATCAACGCACTCAGAGATCAGACACTCAGCTACAGTTTGCTAGAAATACTTAGAAGATTGCTTATAAAAGTAGACTTCCTGCCTCATTTTGTCCACAATAGGATCATTTTTAATCACTGTTATTCAAACAATAGGACAGAGACCTAAGGGTGAAAGTCAGCCATCTTCGCATGACACATTCACCTGCATTGCTGAGCTCAACACAGCCAAGAAATGCACTAGACAAGCTCTTGACCTAAACCAGAAGAAAATACCGAGTATCTGCAAGAAGAAATACTTCTTAACTGGTCCCAGTCAAGGCGCAATGGACTTTAACGGTCTATTCTCAAGACTGAAGAAGCTTCCTTACCCAAAGGACTGGGCAACTATTCTCATACTAGTAGGGCTCATGCTGTAGTAGAAGCTTCTAACACAGGCGTATTCGGTTGTGTCAAGGGTCCTTGTTCTGAGAAGAGGATGAATTAATCTTGAGAGCTGATCTAGTGAAAGTTCTATTTAAAGGGAACGTGAATGAATAATCAGAAAGGAATATTGATCATCTATTGACTCCAGAAGCCAGTCACTAACTTCAAGTGTAAAGCGATGGAAAAGGCAGTTCAGGAGTTGGCTGGAGCCTAGGAAGTAAGGAAGAGGTAAAAACAAAACTTCAGAGACTATTCCAGTTCCATGGGTCTGAACTCAATGCTAACTGAGGTACTACCAACAGAAACTATGTGACATGCAAGACCACCAATAAAGTTTATCCTGGCTATTGCCTTGAAAAGGCTCTAGTTTCCTCAGCTGCTTGTTCAGATGGTGACCTTACCAGTTCTCTTTGCTCCAGCTGGTGTCTTTGGCTTCCATCACATGGAAGGTGAAAGCGTGGCGAGAAGACTCCGAGCTGTTCAGTTCACTCTTATGGACTACTTCGCCATGGATGAGAATGAGTCCACCTGTTTGAGAGAAACGTCTGTACTGCTTTTTTCAAATTGTGAGTGCTTGCTTTAAAACATAAGGGAAGTTGAAAGTGTTAAAATACGATTTTAGCTCTCATTTTTCTTGAGCTGTAGAGCAGACTTGTTTGGGGGTTGTTTTTACCTTTACTTATAGGCAGAGGTATGAACTGGCTGTCATTGTAGGCTGGTTCTGACCCTATAAACTCTACACATGTTGAGGAACCTGAAGATGCACGGACCATTCTTCGGGTAATTCCACCTGCAAATCCACAGAATAAGCAAGCACACACAAAAATTAAACAGCAAGCTACATTCCACAGAGCAGAGGAACAACATCTCTGATCTCTTGGCAGTAGAACTTTATTATTACAGTATATCAAATTTTTTTCTTAGTAATTTGGGTGGGTTTTTTTTTCATTAAGCAAAGATTTAGGATTTTCCGGCTGTGGCAGAAACTGATAAACAACTGCCTTTTCTTTGCCCTTCTGACTCTTTCTGTGCATTGCAACATAGCCCCTTAGGAGCAGAAATAGTCATACGCTTATGCAAAGCCAACCTTTGGTCCATTTCTCCTTTCTATAAGAGCATAAATTGCAAACAGAGCGCAGATTCTGACTCCAGAATTTATGAGGGATGAGCGTCTTAAAAAAATTATTACACTCAGCGTATGAATGCTTAGGTGAGCAACAGTTTTAAAGCTGATTAGCGTGCCCTAGAGATAATGAAAAACAGGAAACTGCGCTGGTAATCCAATAGTGGTTACACACACAGAGCAACTACCATCGGTCACAACAGCCTTTACACAAGTCTGTGCTGATCTGGTTTTGTCCGAGTTCCCCTGGGATGCTGACTCTTCTCCAAGGGCTTGGATGGTGTCCAAGTGATCCTTATGTAGACTTGGAGGCTTTCCTTATTTACTGAAATGCAGACCACATACTTGACAGTTGTGTGTGTGTGTGGAAGAGGAATTTTTTTATTCCCCTTCCATAGGGCTGTCAGAACTAAAAATTTTATCAGCCAGGGCAAAAAAGGGGATTTTTTTGTGAAGGAGATGCAACCTGGAAAAGAAACAGTTTTGTGAATGAATGGGGGAAAATAAAAAAAAAAAGAAAAAAGAAAAGAGTGATTTCTCAGTTTATTCCTACTCTGGAAGGCAAAAGGAGGATTATTCCTCTTTCCAGTTCACATCAGACTTGATGAACATTTTCAAGGCTACAGTCAAAACTGTGGAAGGAGCAGCAACATATAGCAATGACCTGTTTCACTACAGGAACAAAGGACCCAGTGGTTTAAGACCTTCTTTACATTAAACCTTAAATCTCAGCAGCCTGGCAAGGCAGAGCCTGAATCTTGCAGAGGAAGCTTCTGAAATAATACTGAAATGAAAAGATAAGATTCAGAAGCAATTTTAATAGACCTCACCTTAACAGATTCTGGAGTAAATAAAAATTCAGGAGGTCTGTCCTTCCTTTCTCCAGTGCCCTGGATTCTTTGTTTCTAGGCTAGATACCAATTTAAAACTAAATGTAGTGTCAGTCATGTATACCACCTTTTTTTAAATTAAAAAATATTGTTATATTAGACTCATCTGATAGACTAGTGGCCAAGAGCAAAGTGAAGCAGTTAATCTGCTGAAAAACATGGTTGGGGATTTGACAACAGGATAAGAGGAGATCTTTACAGTAAAAAAAGTTGTCCTTTCGACAGCAAGGACAGTAGCGTGCTTCTGCAGGCACTGTGCAATGCAGAGAACGTAACATGGTCTGTGTTACCCTCCACCCTTAAGCAAGAAGATGGCACACACCAAAACGCCACCACCCTTACTGGTGTGAGAACCAGGAATGAACCACAAGCAGCCGTTCTCCTGTGTGGCATCCTCCAGGGCAATCCAGAACCCCAAGATTCTGCCCAGAGGCTCCGTGTGCAGGAAGGTGGCATCCTGGTGCGGGGTCACTGCAACAAGACACAGTCATTAGGGTCTTTTAATGCCTGAGGAATTCAGTGCTGCTGGAAGGACGCAGGCTTGTTCTCCCTGACTCCTAGACCTGACCTGCCCTGCCCACCCATCTGTCATACACATTAAATTGTACATGAAAATAACACCTTTCAGCCTGCTAAGACAGGCTGAGAGAGTCAGGGCTGTTCAGCCTGGAGAAGAGAAGGCTCCCGGGTGATCTTATTGCAGCCTCCCAGTACTTAAAGGGGCTACAGGAAAGCTGGAGAGGGACTTTTGACAAGGGTGTGTAGTGACAGGACAAGGGACAATGGCTTTAAACTGAAAGAGGGGAGATTTAGATTGGATATAAGGAAGAATTTCTTCACTTTGAGGATGGTGAAGCACTAGACCAGGTTGCCCGGACAAATAGTGGCTGCCCCATCCCTGGAAGTGTTCAAGGCCAGGTTGGATGGGGCTTTGAGCAACCTGGTGTAGTGGAGGGTGTCCCTGCCCATGGCGGGGGCGTTGGAACTAGATGGTCTTTAAGGTCCCTTCCAACCCAAACCATTCTATGATTCTGTGTAGAAATATTTCTGGAAAATGTGGATGCTTTTTATTAATTTTAAGAAGGTTTGGACCATGAAACTCACAGGCTTAAGTCTGATTCTGAGCCTTTTTCCTGGTAATATTCCTTTCCTGAAGGAGTAATTATCTGCAGTGTGATATAGAGATAATATGAATCTCACCTTCACCGCCAATGCCAGGTTGCTGCAAGGAAAGAAAAGTGATGTGTGAAGAATTTCACAGCTTCCCACCTAACAAAGTCTTATTTATTGAGTGACAAGACAACGTGAATTACTGTACCTTGAAGATATACATGCTTTGCACAACTACTGGTCTCTCAAGGCCTAGTTTTCTTCCCAATTCCTGCAAGAAAACTTTCCAAGATATGTTTGCTGCTTTCTGCACACTATAAAGCATTATTCTGAAGATATTTAGATTTCCTTTCACAGACAAATTGACTATCCTTGGGAGTCTAGAAAATTAAGGTTAACTACTCCGTAATTTATTCCCCCCCCCCAGACCATTCTAGGACACAGTAACAGCTCACCTGCACCTTGGAAGAGTGGGTGATTTGCTTGAAGACAGGATCATAAGCATGTAAAGCTAAGGGGAAAGAAAAGGCTTAGACTGAAGATTTCATTAACAGAAGGGAACTTGGCAGCACTCCATGAGCTGATGAGACAACAGCCAAGCAAGATAAATTGCAATCAGAAAATTTCCTCCCTCCCAAGAGTAGGTATACATGGCTTATCACGCCTAAGGTGATACAACACTTGTAGATTTGTATAGCCTTCTTTAGAGACCAAAAACATAATCACTCACTGGCCACAAATTGCAGCTACATAAGAAATAGCGTATAAAAGAGTGAACAAAAATATAGCCTTCTTTAGAGACCAAAAACATAATCTTGAGTATTATGTGATCAAGTATTACATTATACATATGCTACAACCACTATACATGACCCTGAGGCAGATAAGTGAATTCACCCTTTAAAAACACAGTTCTTAAGAATAACCAGAAAAGTAATTACTGCAAAAGACAAGCTACAGCTTATCTTTGGTGCCCTTCGCAGGGGGCCACAGCCTGCAGGTCAGAGCTGTTTGCCCAGACGCTCGCTATAGCCCAGCTCTGACAAAATCATAAAGCAAAGACTTGGAATCGTGTCTCCATCTCATCGTGATCACATTTGCCACAAGGACACATGACTGGGTCCAGCAGGGACTGCTCCTGAGCAAGGGATGAGGCAAGACTCGACCAAAAGGAATAATTACAAGAAACAAGTTTAGAGAAGCCTTTTGAATTGGTAAGTTGCTGAGTCACCGGGCATCTACAGTGGTTTTCACTTTCCCAGGGGAAAAAATGAGGTATAACAGAACAGCAGGGGGGCTGGGAGGGGAAGAAAGTTTTCCGAGAAAACCAAAGAACTGAGAACTCTCAGTACTGAATTTCCAAGTTTAGTGAAGTTTAATCTGAACAAAGTTCGCGTGTTCAGAGACGCAGTGAATCCTGCTCTCATTCTCCATGTATCGTTTGAAAACAAAAAGGGATCAAAACGCAAGTTCTGTAACTGGGAGAGAGGAAATAGGTCAAACTGAAACCAGTCAGGATAAAGAAAAGGCGCTGGTGACACCAAAGGAGGGAGGACAGCTTCAGCGTCGGCACCCACCACGGCACGGGTCGCAGAAGACAGTTTGATCTGTACTGAACGCCACCAGGCTCAGGTGGTACATTTGTTCGAGCAATCTCTCATGTAAAAGAGACAAGGGCTGAAGTCCAAACTTTCACATGTCAGTGACTCTGAGCTATGCACAGCCCAAAAACCTCCTAGAAGGGTTTTTTTTGAAAAGGATTGTAACAGGAGATTTTTAAGTCCTGTGACAGCAGAGAGCGAGGGGCAGTGCAGAGAGAACTGCAGAGACACTGCCAGCAACATGGGGAAAAGCAGACTGACACGGAGAAATCAAGTTGAAGACTTTAATGCAGAAACCCAGAGCCAAACGGCCCAAGGCTGCAAAGACAGGAGCTGCACGGCCACAAAGGCAAGAAGGAGTGAGGTCTGAGATATTTGATGCAGCAGTCCCCAGGAGGCACAGAGAAGCAGCAGAAGAGGCAAAAAGTCGCTTCTTTGCTCAGAAAGGTTTCAACTCAGATGGCCGAGGTTATTTATACTCAGTAGGTCTGGAGAAAGCCTCATGTCTGAAAATCACATCCCTTTTGTCCATCCCTCTGAAAACCCCATCCTTTCAACATACCGTGGCCAATCTTGCTGATGGATTTCTCCTTTGGAATTAGAAAGTTACCTACAAAACAAAACCAGAATTTAATGTTGGTTGCAAAGCAGGAATCATTCCTCAAGCTGGAAACTGGCCCCTGACCCCTCACTCAGCTTTCTCTTGTCCCCTCGCTGTGACTAACTCAGGCCAGAGCTTACCTCTCTCATCCAGAACACCTTTCTCAAAGAAGAATCTAATCTTGTCTCCACTGGTGAGGAAATAATCCGAGCTACCCTGCCAGGGATAAGAGCCCAATAAAGATAGAATCCTTGTAAAAACATAAATGAACCTTCGATCAAAGCATTGATGCTCACCTGCATCTTTTTCCCATCAAGCCGCAGCACAAAGAAAACACAGTCAATAGAAATCACTCACACGAAGGAGCCCACAATACTGAATCTCTTGCCATTGATTAGGACTTTACAAGAACCTCTCACACAGAAGCTACCCTTGCTTTTCTTTTGCTGGCTGCCTGGAAAATAACCCATTTTTTGCCTGCAAAACAAGTATAAAGCGATCGGTGAGAGCAGCTTGTGGCTGCTGGGGGGGCAATTGCTGTGGGGGCAGAAAGCACAGCAGAGCCACACACCCCCTCTCCTCCTTCACCCTCTGGTAAGACCACCACCAAACATCTGTAGAAAGCTGGAGAGCAAATGTCTCTCACAGCATTATGTTCAGTTAGAAGAGAGAGTCCCGTTCTCCCAGAGCGAATCCTGAGCAGCTCTTTGCCTTTTCCCTTTCTCCTTCCAGCGCTCCGGCGGCGACAGCCCTGCCCTTCTTGGTACCTGCGCCCGGAGCTGCTCCTCTTCCTTGGTGGAGAACTCAGTGCGGCAGTGCGGTGGCACTTCCATCTCTGCTACAATTCTCTGAATCTGGTTCCTCATGCTGTCACACTCCTCTGCGGTGAAAAAATGCTCTAGGACCAAGAAGCCATCCTTGCGGAACTGGAAGAGACGGAGTGACTGCTCTCCTCCAGAGTCCTCAGGGGAAGCAGCACAAAGCAAGAGGAACCAGTTCTGGCCCTTTGCTGTGCCTCAGCTCCCTGTGAAAAGCATCCCAACTTCAGCTCTGCAGCTGGACAACCTGCTCTTAATTTTTCATTTCAGGAGGGGTTTCAATTGTAAAAGATAGTTCATTAACACGCTTAGACTCCAAGCAGTTAAGAAGAATGTATTTCAGCTTGTCAGTCCACAAAGCAGAGTAGATACCATCACTAGAGCCTATGTGGCTTAAGGATATCTTATCTAAGACCTGCAACCAACAACTATTAAATTACAAAGCCTGCAAACGCCATCAGAGCAGTCATACCTGGATTTGAAATAAGAATGAGATTCCTTCACAAGCTGGAAAGCATTGTTTTCTCTAAGGGAAAAAAAATTCCCTGGGTGATTTCTCATGGTTGACTACACAATCCCGTACAAAGTCAAGCGAACTCTGTCGGCACTACCGTTTCTTTATATAGAATACTCTGGAGATTATCTTGGACAGGCAGATTTCAACTTCACGGATGAGAGCCGAGCAGCAGAGACAGAAAGGCACGAGAGAAATTCCTCCAAGAGCTCTGCGGGTAAAGTTGCCCTCTGGAAGAGTTTGTAGCCACAACAGGGTCCTCACACACTCAAAATGAACGTAATGCAAGAAGCTAAGAAGAATATAGAGTGTTTGTAAAGCTGATCTTTGCTAGACCTGATCACAGGTTCACTGGTAGTGACTGTATCTTACAAGTAGCGTCATCTGCCTGCGGTCCAGGCACGCTCCTTCCCCGGAGTGCAGTTCCTTACCTTTTGGATCTGATGCTGGGTTACAAGCGCCATCGCAGGCAGAAGCTCCCAGGATCCCACCAGCAACACCAGAATGCCACCCAGGCTCTGCAGGGCTGACTCCCCGCCTCTTCACGTGATCCGTTCCCAGCATGCGGTAACACCAAGGGCTCGGCTGCCGGACTGTCACGCAGGCGGCGGATCTGCCTCCCGAGGAATTTTGTCCCATTTCTGGCAGGGACATTCGTGGATGCAGAGTTTTGCTTTGGCTCTTAAGTGCTACTGTACACAAAAGCATTCTGCTCCAGCACCATCACAAACTTTATTTCCTTCTTAACTCCAAGAAGGAATCCCTGTTTTAATTAGTAACCCAGATTAAAAAATAGAGCAGTTAAGCCAGTAAACACAGGGGTAAAACAAGATGAGAGGTAAAACGAGATTCAAGCAGGATGAAGAGATCTAAGAGCTTTGAAACTAATTTAAAGTGGCAATTCAGGCTCCTACAGAGCCCTTTTTGCTCAGTCAGAGTCCTGGCAGCTGTGGTGGTGCAGCTCCCTGCACCACTTTGTGATCTCAGGACGAGCCAGCATCGTGGTTACAAGTACAGTGAGTCGGGACAAGCTGGCACATTCTTGTATCGGTTACAAGGGCGGTATTGGTTTGTACTGGTTACAAGAGCTGGGACGATCAGGCACTCCCTGACCATACCTGAAACTCCTGCTGCCTAGTTACCGTATCTGAAGCTCCTGCTGCCTGAATCGTAGCCAGATCAGGCAGGTATCAGAACTGCATATTCTGGAAAATACTGGAGTCATACAGTGGCTGAGATACCAGAATCACCTAATGCAAGTTGTGGACAAAAAAAACCACCCACAAAAAAATACTGTAACAAAAAACCCACACCAAAGAGTATCAACCAAAGTTAATCATCTCACAGTCCCATATACAGCGATCCTAAATGAGACCCTTTGAGCTCTCTGGGGTCACAGCAGGCAGTGACCCAGTATGTCCCCCTGAGCTGGGACACCTCTCAGGGTAGATTTCATGAGGTTCACAGATCATCCGCTGATAGATGCTGACGATGAAGAGTGAGTAATTAACTATAATTAGATTTTGCAGAGTTTTAGAGATTAATTGATGCCAATAACTTATTACAATTTACAAATGAGACAGTCTAAGTCATAGTTTAACCTTTGAGTGTGTGTTTATGTATATGGTTTAAGAACTTCTATATTTGGATGTGATTTAAGAATCTGTCATAAGTCTTGTGTGAACCTTGCCATTTTCGAATCTTTAAGTCACTGCTTGATTTAACAAATTTAATTAAATCGCCCCATTAATTGGCTGACAATCAAGTGTCATTAAATACCATACAATCTAATCTGGTGATTGACCTAATAATAATAAATCCTAAACTGCTACTACCTCAAAGTTGTGTAAAATCTCATCTGTGACACATCGGCATGGTCAGCAGGATCCTAAATCAGCCGTTTGTGACACCAGCGCTTCAGCACGCTCATCTGAAAGGGACTTCAGTGGCCCAGGAGATGGCAAACAGACTCAAAGGTGATAATTTAGCTAAAGAGGTTTCACCAAGGGTTTGGTAAAATTCACAGGGACTATATCTCCTGTTTTCATTCACAGCTGCTCTTTGCCAATGCCCACCTTCTCCTGCTCAGTTCGCTCTCCTGCAGCTCCCAAACATGCATGTAAATTTAGGATGAACCCAAAGCCACAGTTCAAACCAGAGAAAATGCAGAAACTAGATGTAAAAGGCAGCAGAGAGGGGAGAACAGCCAGCAGCCCAGCGATGGCGCTCCCCACCAAAACATCCCTCCCACTGCACAGGAATCAGTTTTCACTCCAGAGTAAAATGTGTTTGGCTCATGCAGGAAACACTGAAAACATCCTTTCAGCAGCACTCCACAAAGAAATAACGTCGTGGGGGTGGTTTTCTGCACCACTCACTTAGCCAAAAAAAAAAAAAAAAAAGACAGACTCCAACAAACTGAAGGAGTGCAAAATGCTCTTGGGAAGGTGTTTACTTCCAAAATGTATTTGCTGGCACTGAAAGTTCATCTTAAAGAGATGAACTTTCTGAAAAAAAAACAAAGAGATGAACATCTGAAAAAAAAAATTCCTCTATTCTGTAAGGGAATCAACTCTGGATAAAAAAAATAAATCCCTTCTCATCTTGTTCAAGGTTGGTTTTGGTTTTTAATGAAAAGAGAAATTAGCGTTTTCTCTTGTTGAACATTTACACCTTATTTTGAAGCTTTTCTCTACACACAAGGGAATATGAATTCAGTAGCTTAAAAAGTTAAATTTTGCAAGATAATTTAATCACTGTGCTACGAACTTACAGGGATTTACAGGGACGCCCAGTGCTGCAAAACTCAAAAAAAAATAATCAAGTACTTCCTCTTTCCTGTTAAAGGACTCTCACCAACTGATGGAGCTGAAATGCTTTTAAGGAAGATGTGTAACCAGTGGAAAAAGTCCCTGCTGTAGCTACTGCCTGTAAGTCAATCTCATGAGGACCCACCTCCGTGGGAGGCAGCGATCCTGGAGACACGTGCCTTCTACACACACTCCCATGCCACTCCTCAGTCCTTCTCTGAGTTACCCAGGTCATTCATAATGTCATGTACTTCTCATTCCCAGTCTTTTATTTTTTTCTTCCCCAGCAATTTCACACGTCATCTTCTCCACTGCCCACCTTACGCACACACGATGACTTCAGCAGCTGTTTTAGCTCATACATACGACAGTAAACCACAGTTTTCCTGTTCTATGGACTGTTTTGAGCAATATAAACAGCAGATCACAACCAAGCCAGAACCAGAAAGTAACTGCATAAACCAGGAGAGGCAACCCATCTTGGTTACAGGAGCATTCAGTGTCTGTCCTTTGGAGTCCTCCAGTTCTTTGCCACTCCAGATGTGCTCCTATTTTGAGGCTTTGAAAGACCTTTTCAGCAAGAGGAAAATCACCTCTGCCACATAATGCCCAAAAAAAGTCAAAGAGAACAATGTCACTTTTGTAAATAACTTTTCTTCCAGTACATTTAAATAAGGAAGGTAGAACGTACTCAGACAAAACTGGGAAATGGCCCCCTTTTCCTTCCCTTCCTCCCCCTTCAAGAGCTCTTTTGCAGACTAACAACATTTTCTCCTGCCAGCTCCAGAAGAAAACTGCACTTCTGGCAAACTCCATTGGAGGCTGCCAAAGCCCATCCCATGTCTGCATGAGAGGTGCAATGACATCTACAAAGGGAGAGCGAGTGATATCTGGAGCATGGACAGCCCTGCAGCAGACAAAGCACAGGTGTTCCAAATGCCTTTTTGACTGGCACGATTATCCTAGTTTCCTCCTCAATAAGAGTTCCTGTTGAAACCATTCAGAGCCAGGCCAGCTTGCCAGTTCATGTGGCTCAGCACTCCCACCAAAATTGCAGCTGTTGGAGCTGCTGGGGTTATTAGGAAAGGAAAAACTTCAGCTAGATCTTGTCACCTCTCCTGAGGTCATCGATATGATTAGCAGCAAGCAACAGAGTATTTAACGAGAAACAAGGAGCACAGGAATAACGATAACCATAATGAGTATTTAAATTGTATTAAATAGTATATTAGTTTTTAAATGGCATAGATACTTTAATACTTCTGTACTCAGAAATGCAGCAGTTTTCCATCAAGAGAATTCTCATTGCCATCAACAGGTAAAACCAAGATGGTTACTTTCTTCAAAAATCAGCAAAGTAAAAAGCTTATGGAACAGCAGGGCTAGAGGATTTTATCACAATAAAACCAATGTATTTCCAGCTGCCCCTATTGCATCTTTACTCTGTGCTTTTCAGTGAGCTACGTAGAAAACTCAGAATTATCAGGATTAAAAGTCTTCTCCAACAAAGACAGATCAGTTCTTTACCCTCAGGCTCTTTCCCCATCGCTGTATTAGTCCTGCAGGAACCCACCAAGCACGTTTCCGTTGACGGTACCTTTCATTCTTCCCTTTGGCTCAGCTGCTCAAAGAGCTGGTAAATCCTTGCCAAAAGTCCAAGTGAGCCTTTATATGACAAGAGGCATTTTGTCCGCTCTTTTCTCAGTGCCAACCAGCACCACTGCAGCCCAGCACCTTTTGCCTGTTCCGCAGCCTGCTCACACCTGCGGTCACTGCAGTGAGACCAACGTCACTGTGGTCAAGTCCTCTTGGACCAGGGAGGCTGGGGAAGGCAAAACACAAGAGAAACACCTTTCTGTACAATAAATGAGCTGCACAGAAACTCAAGCTGCCTTTGAAAGTTACAGGCCGATTGTCTGTAACACATCATGAACATACTCATCTAGAAAGACTATCTGCCAGTGTTTTCAGTTGAAAAAGCGGTGCCTGGGGTAGGCAGACAGCTAGGAAACACAAATAACTTGTCACCAGGAGCTGGCTGAAGACAATTTCTATGACAAACAGGCAGCTTTCTCCATTGACTTCAGTCCCTATCCCTTTCCTAGGGAAGGAGAGCACAACATGCATTTTGAAAATCCAACTGAGCCTCTCTAGAACCATGTAGAGAAGACTCCCAGCAGTCTTATATTTGGCAGCATAAACTGTTTTAGCCATTTGTCAAAGTGACAGTGAAATACTTACGGCAGCCCAGGCTTGTCACTGAACAGGATCTTTCACTGTATGTGCTTATTCATAAAGGAATGTCATAATCCACAAGGACTCACAATATGGTAAAAAACCTCAATAATCCTACACAATAGCTGGAGCTATTAACATCTGTTCTTCTGAAACACGAGATCGTGAAGGGGTAAGTGCCTTTGCATACAGAGAACTTAAAAGAAAGCAGACATAAAAGGAAAATGCAAATTAAAAATTAAAACTTTTATTCTGTTAAAGTGTCCAGTCTTACAAGTTGCTCAGAGAAAACAATAGCAGCCTTCAGTGCTTAAGGTGGAGGTGCTGTTGATCAGCTGCCCAAACAATCCCACACGCAAAGTGAATGTCATGATTCCAAAATGTTACATCAAGTTGCAGGTCTCAGATGCCAAACCACA